CTTAAGCATGGAAGCTATTTCCTGAGATTACCTGATAAGGAGTGTACAGAGAGAACTACTTCTACAAATCAAATCAGAATTTTCTCATAGAGAAAAAGAAAAAAGAGCATTGGTCAGATTTTTATGCTGAAATTTGTTAACTTATGTCCTTAAATTTTAATCCTTAAAACACTAATATTTAGATCTCAAAGCAGTTACTTATTTCAAATTAGGAAATGTAGTAAGAGAATATAAACTCTCAGTAAATGGCTTCTTCTAAAAGGTATCTGTGCTAATGAAAGTTTTAAAAAATATTTATATAAAAAACACACAAATACAATCATATTTAACAGTTTAGAAATGTCAGTTGCTCATTTGTACCCTAAATGTTATCTTTTAATCTAGAGTTTAAAACAGTATCTAAAATCCAGTTGCTTTCAAGTCACTTCTGACTTATGATAACTCATGATGTGTGTCAGAGCAGAATTGTGCTCCACAGAGACTCCTTTGTTTTATTTTTAGATTATATTTTATTGTGTTTATACAGCATTCAACAGTGACATTGGTTACATTTTTTCACAATGTGTGAGCATTCTGATTTCTGTTCTGCTTGTCCTGTTTTCATTAATCACGTTTCCCTGTCCCTTATAGTCTTTGCTTTAATTTAATTGTTGACTATTTAGTATCATATACTTGTTTAAAGGAACACAATATTTATGGATGATATTAGTTTTTTAGTCAATCTGGTTTTTAGCTATAATACGATCTCTGGGGTTAATTTGGGTACAAGGTTTGAAGAATGTTTCAGAGCTATAGTCTCTCTCAGTCCAGTAGGTCTAGGGTTTTGTTGTTATTCTTTATATTGGTTTGTTTTTTGGTGTGGTTTTTTTTTTTAGGAATTTGAAGTCTGTTCCACATTTTCTCTCCCATTTTATCAGGGTTCTTCTGTTGAATTGTGGGGCTGACTGCTGTTTTTCATATGCCACATATTAAGTAAAAAAAAAAAAAATGCAAAATTTCCCCTGTGACTTCCTGTTCAGGCAAACTGTACTGTATGGTCACTAAAGTTAGGCAGTGATAACACATAGCAATGCAATAATCAAATCTGTTTTGAAAGAATAAGAAAAGAGGAAGTGCTTAAATCAGATACATGTTGATAATAATTCAATATGGTTCCAATGCCTATATGCTGGTGGCGTAAGTAGAAATCAGCACAAACACTTGATGGGAAATTTGGCATCCTATCTTTTAAGTCCTTAAAGCACTCATACCTTTTAGCCCAGTAATTCTATTTCTAGGAATCAGTCCTACCAAACAGGAAATACACCTTATGTTTAAAGATTTCTACAGCCGCACTTTTTAAATAAAGAAAAATGGAAAGCAATCTAAATATCCAACAATAGAGAATTTTTTATTTAATGTTTGATTGTTAGAGAAAATATGTACAGCAGTATTCTCTCATTCCTTAGTGTCTAGAGCTAATAATCGGTGATATTAGTTACATTCTTCACATTGTGTCAATATTCTCATATTTTTGTTTTGGTTGTTTCACTTCAATTAAACTTCCTGCCCCCTTACCATCTATCTCCTCTAGGCTTTGAAGTAGCTGTTTACCCTTTGGTCTTATATAGATACATATCAAAAAACAAAACAAAACTCAATACTTAATGGTGATAATCTTTGTTCTTTGAGCTAAATTGTCACTTAATTTAAAGGTAACTTGAGGGGGTAGTTTCAATTTAAGGATTGCATAGTAAGTCGGAATTTTCTTGGTAACTCCTGCAATTAAAATAGGTCTAGTAAGTCTGGATTGTTTACTAATTTGAAGTTCTGCTCCACGTTTTTCCACCTGCCATTCAAGGATTTTTAATATAAATTATGATACATTCATTTCCAGAAGCATTCTGCATTGTGTAGTTCTGAAAATGTTTATGAAAAGTTATAATAACTAAAAACATATTTATGGAATGATGGTAAATAGACTAAGAAAAAGATACAAAATTACATAAAATTATGTCCTCAATGGAGTTTTTAGATGGCAAAAATGGTTAAGGACTTGATTATTAGCTAAAAGGTTGGCAGTTTGGACCCGCTCAGTGATCTCCTTCTAAAAGGTCACACTCTTGAAAAGTCCATGGAGCAATTCTAGTCTGCATGAACCAGAACCAACTCAGTGGCAACTAACACCAACAAGCCATCTGTTAACAATTATGTGTATACATATGTATGTGTGTCTTCATTCGTAAGTATTCAAATGTGTACCATAGATTGAATTGTGTTCCCCCAAAATATATGTCCATCAATTGCTCATAAAGAAGTTCAGGTTGAAGATGAAGAAAATGAAAACAAATCCACAGGAGTCAAAAGATAAAGATATCCCACTTGAATTTAGAGACCATCTCAAGAACATATTTGATACATTAGACACTGATGACAAAAGACAGAAGAGTGGCAACAGTAGTGAGGTTGGCCCAGGACCGGGCAGTGTTTCATTCTGCTGTGCATAAGATCGCTATGAGTTGGTACCGAGTCAATGGCACCTAACAGCGACAGCAACAATTCCTGGAGAAAGACATCATGCTTGGTAGAGTGTTCCGCAATTTTAATTAATCATTCTTCCAGTTGCTTTAGGTGAGGGCAGAGACTCTGTTTTGATCTTTATACTCATTGTTGCTGTTCGGTGCTGTCAAGTTGGATCCACTCATGACCCTGTGTCTAATAGAAGGAAACACTGCCTGGTCCTGTGCCATCCTCACAATAATTCCTGAGTTTCAGCCACTCTGTCACTTCATCTCATTGAGTGTCTTTCTCTTTTTCACTGACCCTCCACTTTACCAAGAATAATGTCTTTCTGGTCACTCCTTATATGTTCAGAGTACATGAGAAGAAGTCTCTCACTTATAAAAAGAGTGTTTTAGCTGTTCATTCTTAAGGCTGCCTTTGATGTTAAATGCCTTTGAACCAGTTCCAACTCAGCAACCCAGGAGCAACTGGTGTATTTGAACTGCCAGCATTGCAATTCAAACTGGCCTTACAGCCCAGTGCATATTCTACAGGACCACAGTCCATGGTATATTCAAAATTCTTGGACAAAACCACAATTCAAAGCATCAATTCTTCCATCTTCCTTATTCATTGTGCAGCTTTTCCATTCATACGGCTTGGATTAAACATACCTTCATCCTCAGAGTGACATCCTTGTTGTTGTTGTTGTTGTTGTTTAACATTTTAAAGAGATCTTTTACAGCAGATTTTCCCAATGTAATATGTTGTTTGATTTCTTGACTGCTACTTCTATGAACTCATTGACAGTTGAATTTTTTCCGTTTATCATGATGTTGCTTTTATTGATTAAGTTGTGAAGATTTTTGTTTCCTCTTGTGTTGAGGTGTAATCCACACAGAATATTGTAGTCTTTGAACATCACCAGTTGTTGTTGTTGTTGTTGTTATGTGCCGTGGAGTCAGTTCTGACTCATAGCAACCCTGTACAGGTTTTCCTGTTGTAAATCTTTACGGGAGCAGAAAGCCTCATCTTTCTCCCACAGAACAGCTGGTGCTTCAAATTTTCTTCACTTCACCAGCAAGGTTGTATCATCTGCATGCCGCAGGCAGTTAAAGAATCTGCCTCCAATCTTGATTTGTAAAAAACCCTCAATTTGTAAAACATGTAATAACTTTGAATCACAATAAAGCAAGAAGCATGATGGCTCTGTAAGATAAGGACTGGACTTGGAACCACAAGGTCAGCAGCTTGGACTCACCAGCGGCACCATGGGGAAAAGATGAGGCTTTGTGTTTCTGTTGTTGTTGTTAAGTGCCGTCGAGTAGGTTCCGACCCATGGTGACCCTGTATAGGGTTCCCAAGGAGATGCTGGTGAGCTTGAACCACTGACCTTGCAGTTCAAACGGCTTTGCAGTCTGATGCATTAGCCCACAGCGCCACACCAGGACTCCCCTCAGAAATCCTAATTACAGTGTTGCTATGAATCAGAACCAACTCCATGGCTTTTATCAACAACATCATCATCCTGTATGTGATTAATTTATATGGAATTCCTGGGTGGAGCAAACTGTTAATGCACTTGGCTACTAACTGAAAGTTTGACGGTTGAGCTCCACCCTGAGGAACCTAGAAGAAACGCCCACTATCTTCTTCAGAAAAATTAACCATTGAAAACCCTGTGGAGCATAGTTACACTCTGATATGCAGGGGCTGTCCATGAGTCAGAGTTTATTCAACAGCAATGGGTTTTTGTTTTGTTTTTATCATTATTGCTTTTAATTAATATGTCATTAATTCACTTGATCCTCCCAAACTCTCTGTAATTAAGGGCATAGAAAAAGTTCCATTAGATTTATTTATTAGGTAGCTTAGACTAAGTTCTTACATCTAGTGGTGAATTAAACTAGAATCTGAATTTGAGACTGATGCTCTTTCTACATTTTATTTGTTTGTTTCACTCTTTCTCTGTCACTCTACCTCTCTCTGCCCTCTTTCACTCACACAAATTTCTACCTTTGTGAATAAATTCTTAGTAAATTTATAATCTTAACTAGGTATGCCAACTATTGTGTGCTGATACAACTCTAAATATAAATTGAAAACATTGTGTAAGACATTTATAGAAGGAAGAATGTGATTTTATTTAATCACCATAACCCTCTATAAAAAAAAAAAAAGAAGAAGAAGAAGAAGACGACCTATTTTTGGAGCCTCCAGACTTCCTTTAGAAAGATCTTCCAACACAAAAGAAAGTCTGATGAAGCCTTACAACAATCTATGTTGAAATAGGTGCAGTAAACCATATATGGAGAAACCCATTTCTCCAAACTTGTGACTCATTCTGCTTTCTGTTTTGTCAAAGCTGAAGTCAGTAGTCGTGTTTTGTGTAGCTGCAGGCTGAGGACTGTGAGAGAGTCCCTTACCTCCTCAGACCCTGCAATCAGCTCCACCGCAGTCTGTCACGCTTCATGGCAGACAGACAGAGCATGCGAGCTATATTTGCTGCCAGGGTCTGGATGGCCTCTTTAGTCTCCTCTTACGCATATACATCAAATACTCTGCCAGATATCAAAAATGAAGATTTCATCAAAGACTGTGTTACAGTTCATAACAAGTTCCGTTCAGAAGTGAACCCAACAGCCAGTAACATGCTGTACATGGTAAGTAAACTATCCATACAGCTTACATGTATTCATCTTCCTAATCCTGAATGACTTTTTTCATTGTGACTAAGAAGGAGCTCTGGTAGCATAGTGGTTACGAATCGGGCTGTGAACCTCAAGGTCAGCAGTTCAAAACTACCAGCTGCTCTGCGGGAGAAAGATGTGGCTTTCTGCTCCTGTAAAGATTACAGCCTTGGAAACCCTGCACAGGGTCGCTATGGGTCGGAACCGACTCAACGGCACTTAACAACAACAACAACAATGCTTGCAGTAAACTCATCATCTGGTGTCAAGACACACCTAGGTTAGCTTGGTGTACCTACCACTTATTATAAGCTAACTGTGCAATTGCATTTTACTTCTCTTTTTGAATACTTCCTTTCCTGTAGTCTTGGGTAGATTTTACTTCTCTCTCTCTAGCTTCTTCTTATTTTTTTAACTGTTTCCCTCCCATTAGTTTTTATGAGCTTCTTTTCTTCTCTTAAGTTTGCTGGTTTTGTTACTGGCAGATAATTGATTTTCTCTGGAAGGTAACACAGTAATTGGTCAAAAGAATGAAATTTTGATTTAGTCAGGCTTGGTTTGAATTCTGGCTGTGTGACTTTGAGCTGTTTTAATTTCCTGAGCTTCTTTAGCCATGGGCCCTTGTGGTGAACAGATTATATAATCCACATGGAGCACAGTGTACAGTGTTTTAGCACATAATAGACCTTCAGTAATGTGTTGGTTTATTTACCTCATTTAGATTCTAAATTCCATGAAATCAGATGCTGTCAGCCAGTCCTAGTCATTATTTGTACTTAACAACTGTATTTATAGAGAGGACCCATGTGCCATCTTTGTCTTCTATTCTTTTACCACATCTCCTTTCCCATTCAAATTCCCACTCTACCCATTACAGTTACATTGTCGACAAACAGTTTCCATTTGTGACATTCCTTATTATTTAATACTTATTTTTCAGACTTGGGATCCAGCATTAGCCCAAACTGCAAATACCTGGGCCAAAACTTGCCAGTTCAAACATAATGTACAGCTGCATTCACCTGGTAAACTACACCCAAACTTTACTTCATTGGGAGAAAATATCTGGACCGGTACTGTATCCATCTTTTCTGTGTCCTCAGCCATCACAAGCTGGTACAATGAAATCCAATACTATGACTTCAGTACAAGAGCATGCAAACATGTCTGTGGCCATTACACTCAAGTAAGTACCTGCCCTATAATCAATCTCCTTAAGCTATCTTTTCAAGGATGAGGAGAAAACTGGAATCTGATGTTAAAAATATATAGGTAGATGGTGGCCAGGAGGAAGATTTACAGAAAGTGCCCTTTGGTAGTGTAAATTATATATGCCTGAGTGTTTTAAAAAGGAAAAAAAACAGAGCTGCAGTGAATAGAGAGAAACTCTGGTAACAGATGGTACACGGAGGGGATGGTAATCATGGTAATGAAACAAGGTATATGATTCATTGAATGTAAAACTGATGATCTTCCCGTAAACTTTCACTCAATCCACAATAAAAACCTTAAAACAGAAAAAGAGAAAAAAAAAGAATATTAGACGTGAAGAAAGCAAAAGGTCATTAAAAAGACAGGAAAGAAAGAAAAGACCAAAGTGGATGTCAGAAGACACTTACTCTGGCATCAAAGAAGATGGAATCATTGGACCCAAAAGAACTGGTAGATGTTCAACCATTTCAAGAGGTAGTATAAAAAAACTAATGGTTTTGAAGGAAGAAGTCCAAGCTGTGCTGAAGGAATTGGTGACTGCAAATGGAAGGAACTCTAGATATTGAAGTTTCATCAAACTGATATAATGCTGGAAATACTCACTAGTCAAGAAATTTGGAAGATAGCTACCTGGCCAACCAACTGGAAGAGATCCATATTTGTGCTTATTCCAAAGAAATGTGATCCAACAGACTGCAGAAATCATTAAACAATATCATTAATATGATATGCAAGTAAAATTTTGCTGAAGGTAATTTTTAAATGGTGGCAATAGTATATCAACCAGGAGCTGCCAGAAATTCCAACTGCATTCAGAAGAGTGTGTGAAATGAGAGATATCATTACTAACATCAATCAGGTGGATCTTGGATGAAAGCAGAGAATACCAGAAAGATTTTTATATTACTTTGGAACACACTTTAAAATCCATTACTATTAAACTAAGTGCCTCGTAGACTAATTTGTTGAACTGTTTAGTGTATAAATTAGGCACAGAGGATATAGAAGTGAATATTCTGTAGTTAACTGTCCTATTAATTAGAAGAATAATAGCATGATGGTAAAGAGCAAAAAAAAAAAAAAAAGAATATATAGGTAGTCCCGACATAGTTGAGTTACAATGAATCACACTTACAATAGTGTGGAGTTATCATCTGACCTCTAACTTCACAAGAGGGAAGGAGAAGAATCACTATCAGCATCAACTCAAGGCTGATTCCTCTGAGGTGGAAGCCAGACATGTCTCCACCTTCCCTGCTGAGTTTCAATAACTCATTGCAGCAGCCACACAGAACCCACAGACTATACGTACAACTTTGAGGTTCACTAGGGAAATTAATAGACTCCAATTCAGGATTGGAAATGGTTCCGGCAGGACAGTTTCTTCTCAGCCTTGCTCACAGGCACATCTCTCTAATTCTTGGCTTCTGCCTTATTCAGGCAAGTGTTACATGACTCCTTTAGCTCTGCTGACTCTGCTAGTGTTGAAATCCTGGTGTGGCTCCGTAGGCTAATGTGTCAAACTGCAAAGATATTTGAACTGCAAGGTCAGGAATTCAAACTCACCAACTGTTCCTTGGAAACCCTATACAGGGTTGCTATGGGTCGGAACTGACAGCAAACAACAAGTCTGCTACTACGTCTAAACCCAAAGGTGCTTACTTCTAGCTACTGATTTAGCAAACCTAGCTCCCCAGAGAAATGCCCAGAAAACCTCCTACTACTAGCAATCCTGCCACCACTTCTCTGGTACTGCTCCTCACCATCTCACCCTCTCTGGTGTCCCAGGTCTCAGTCTCTGTCTCATGGATCAAGGAGTTTGGCGCTCCTGGATATGCTTGGGCCCCAAGGATATGATCCACTCCGGACTCTTGTTTCTTGATGGTAGTGAGAGCCCCTCATTCTGCTTCTAATGTAGCTCATATTATCCCTAGTGGGAGAGCAAAACTGACCAATTCCCATATTAGGATTCTATATACCTTATTTGCATGGTCCCACCCCAAAGGTGCCATGTATCTTATTAACGTTATTAACAAATTACCCAATCCCCTTGCAGTGTCACAATCACTTAAGTTATATAGTCCTATCCAGTCCTGGTATGACACTGTAGGATAAGCACTGGAACACAAAGTTGGTTTCAACCGTAAGGTTTGTGGTTCAAATCCACCAGTTGCTCCTTGGAAACCCTATACAGGGTCGCTATGAGTGGGAACCAAGTTGATGGCACTTGACAACAACAACACAAGTCATTTGGTAGGAATTACAAAGACTGTCACTGTTGTTGTTGTTGTCAGGTGCCATCGAATCGGAACCGACTCATAGCGACCCCATGCACAGCAGAACGAAACAATGTTCGATCCTGGGCCAACCTCACTACCGCTGCCACACTTGAGTCCATCAATG